TTAAACATATGGTCTTTGCTATCAATTTAAATCAATTATTATTAAAATATTAATTAATTTCATATATAATATCATATAATTTTAATATATCACTTAACACATATACCATAGCAGTAGTATGTTATATATTATTATCTTACATTAGTAACATTTTATTGCCTTTTAAATTGATTTTCTACATAAAATTGCAGTTATCCTCCAAATTTACATGCCACACATTACATGTTGATATATAGCTATAATTAAATTTTAATAGTGCTTATATAAAAAACTGATATTAATATTCAAAGTGTAAAATAATGATTATATTTAAATACATGTGAAGCAAAAATGTAATCGACTTCACACGCTTAACAGAGATAAACATTGCATTAATTAGCACTGTTATTAACAGTAATTAATTTCTCATACAAACTCATTACAGATCTATTAAAGTTTTACATGCTGTTATATCTCTGTTGCTTTTTAATCATTTTAAATTAATTTATCAATTATTTTAACCGCATAAAAATAATACATTTTTTAAATGATGCCGTTGTGGTTAAGCTTTCAAGCTTCAAAATTAATCATTGAATGAAATGAGTATCAGATATATATGCATAAAATTTTTAAAGTTAGGTATGATATGTAATATTGAGTTAAAATTGAATTTAATGACATTTAAAAATTATTATAATACACTACATACTCGAAACTCAACCGAAAACGTCAGATTTATGAAAATTATAATAGCATTTACAATTCTCCGGAACTTACCTAAAACATAACCCAAATATTAGACTGAATTTTAAAGTACACATTTTTTATTAGATATTGATACTAAACATCTAATATTACTATGTTTGGGGAGTTCTCAACTGCGACCTAGAGATCTATTGAGCACTAATACTAATATATAGTGATAATTGTTTTTACTATTAAAAAAAAACATTATTTATTAGAATTGGTAATGACTACTTATAACATGGAACTTTTGATCGCCCAAAAATTAGTCTAACTAATATGTTTAGCTTATCAAGCAAAAAACTATTAGCAAGAATGTGATTGTAATTTTGGAAACTAATAATTTTGGTAAATTTATTTGCCCAAAGCCGTGTAAATTTACAAAAGAAATTTTTTTTATTTCACATGAATTCAGTCTAACATATTTCGATATCAGGATAACATTTATCTTAAAAGTAGTAGCCCAAATGATCAGGACAATTCCCCATTTCTGGGTTTTAAATTTATTTTTTATTTGGTTATTTATATTCTTCACAATCTTTTTATCTATACAATACCACACATTGTATAGTAGCCATATAATCTATTCTGAGTGCAGTATACTAAATCAAATTTATGATCAATTTTCCGCAGGAAAAAAGGTAAAATACTTTTAAGATAAATATTTGGCAAATAATTCAACAAAATTTTATATACTACAACATATACACAATAATATATAATATATATAATAATATATACAATAATACTACATATTATTATTATACTACATATGACACAATAACCCACATATTATAGTAATAATAAATAAAAAAATATTCAATAAAGATATTTATTTTTTATTTAAGTTAGACTGGGATGGATGCTATACTCCATTTAAATCTACTTTTCTCATTAAAGAATTTATGCTGTAATTAGTTTCAATCTTATCAGGTTAACTGCAACAGAATAATTGTATTTTAGAATTGACCTTGCTTTAAAAATTCTCTCTCAAAAGCCGAATATGCATATAAATAAAGAGTTCACCTCAATTGATTTAATATCTCACATTATTTTATCTTACAATTATGTATTAAAATATAATCCACTCACAATAAATTGTGTAATATTATTTAAAGCCAAATTTATTTAAAAGCGCTGCAATATATCTTAAATGTGCTATGTACAAGCATTATTTATGAAATGAATTTATGGGTATTTTGTTTTTCAAAATTATTTTGTATAAGTTACTTTTTGGTATTAAGTTTAAATTAATTCAATCATGTCCGTCTCAGATAAAATAGTTTATAGTGATATATTGAAATGCTTATTTAAATAAGAGTTAATAATTTAGAATTGCAATATTTCAGTCAAAATAAAGAAACATCATCAAGTTCAAAAATTATCTCTGAATATATATGAGTAAAAAATAAATTTTTAGAATTCTGAAATATGTGTGAAATATATCGTCATTGGTCTTCAGGATTATTAGAAAGAATATATATTTCTTTTTATAATGATTTTCTGTACAATTTATAAATGTTTTATTTTAGCATAAAAGTTGAAAAATTTTCTAGAACTATAGTCTATTCAAGGCAGCTCTTTTGAAGAAAAAATAATTATTATTTAAAATATAAAAAATATTAAAAATCTTTATTTTTCTTTTGTGAGGCGCATAGTATTTACCTTAAATTATATACATTTTGGAACAATATACGTTCTCGGCAATCACAGCCTCTCAGTATAGGCAGTATCTCTAAAACTACAACTGTCTCAAACTTCATAAAAAAACGTTGATAATTTTCTGAATGGACTTTTCAACAAAAATTGAGTATATTCAGTTGAGTATATTCAATTATATTCAGCAATTATAAAAGCACCTAATTACATCCTAAAATAGTCTTGATACTTCTTGATACAACACAATAATTAATTTATCCAAAGGCAATAAGATACTTGATGATAACTATATATTCACTATATGTCTATAGATCTATAAGCCTTTTAGCAGATTTGATAAAGACTTTTGATCTATCGCAAGTAATAAAAGATGCTAAATGTATTTCGATTAATGCATTATCAGAACTATCAGTTCTTTATCATTGAAAACGAAAATACAGTTTTTGCAACAATGATCTAGTAAATAAATCCAATTGTTGTCACTACACTCAATAATTTTTACCAATGGTTATTGGAAAGCTATATAAATTTATATAATTTTACTACCAAAACTTCAGTCAATAGCAGTCAATAGTGTTAAATCATTCAATAATTGTATTTAGTGAATTCAGAATATTATATTAAATCTAAAAGACCGAAGAGGTCAAGAAGAATTTCATACTAAAATGCATGACGAATCAGAAAATTACTGACTTTTTTAAAAAAGGTTCTCTATATTAACAGCATGAAAAATTTATTTCGAAATATTGGACAACTGGCTATCATCCGTCCATAAATTTGGACATATCAACTGATGTGTCCTGATGTTTATTTTGTGATGTGTATCCTGAATAAGAAATGAAGTGAACACAACGGATGTCTTGAGTATCACGCCGGTATCAATCAACCGGATTTTATAGTCTATGTATTCTGACGATTAGCGGAAATAGCGATAAAAGTTAGGTATTGACGGGACTTGTAATTTAAAAACTTCTAAATGAATGTAAAGGTCAGGCGCAGAATTAAATATTCATTAATTTATATAAGATAGATTAATACTCTTCTTAAATGTGCATTACTTGTCTTCTTCATCTTGGATAAAATTTATTTGCTGCTCAATATTCAACATAGATTAATATTCTTCTTAATTGTGCAAGATCTGACTTATTTAGTTTGAGTAAAATTTGTTTGCTCTTAGAATACATGAAACAATACAAATTCATGAAAAATTCTTAAAAGATCAAGATAGTTTTAAACAACTGAGGTTAGTACATCAAACCCCTTGTTTCCTGCAATTTTTCGTAGATTTTTAGCAAGCCAAAGCAGTCTAAGACTTTACAACAAAAGTGACCTTTCTAAGAAAAGTATTTAAAAGTTTTGTGATATGAATGTTGAACTATTTGAATACATTCCCAATAAATGTTCTATACTGAGTAGTAACAGATTTATTTATCTTATAAATAGACTTTTTGCCTTCTTACAATATATAAATCACTACAAAAACAACTTCTAACACTATCAACTATAGTGTCACTAGTATACAATATGTTTAATATCAGCTAACACCATTAAAACTAGCACAATAGCCCAGTTGTGTTTTAATGTATACCAATGGTATATCCTATTAAAACTTATTACTACAAACCTTTGGGAAAATCGTTTTTGATCTATGGTATATTCCTAAGGGGTGCGCTGATTTAAAATCTCATTTGTGTTTTTTCGAGTCATCCATTCTCTACTCAATAGTGATAATAAGTACCTATTGCATATATCTTACTCGTTATATATATTATATTATACTTTTAGCTTAATATTTTTGTTCTGTTTATGTGCCACACTATAACTTGTTGACACCGATTACCTTGGTTTTAATTAATTGCGGATATTGGGAACATTCTTTATATGTGAGTTGACTTTTCATAAGATGAAATCATGATGGTAGATATATATAGTATATATTGTGTTGCAAAATAAAAATATGTAAGAGGATAAATTGAAAAATGGAACTTTTATGCATTGAAAGTGTGTAAGAGAAATGACTTGCTTTCAACTAATGACAATTATAATTGTTGCAAAAACTTTTTCCCCCTCTTGTTACCTTGGCATAAATATGTGCAATTATTAGAAATCATTTTTTTGTGCATTCGTGCATAAATGCAAGTGCAACTCATAAGCAACCAGCGCAGTTAGAAAATTCTTGAAAAATTTCTTTTATAAAATTTTCTTTACCACTTTAAAGTTTTCAAAACTTTTTGCAACATTAATAATTATTTACTAAATTCAATAGAAAAATTAAAACAAATAAAAAACTTTTCTTTTGAGACACCAACAAAGATCATTCGCATTCAATACGCATGCTCGAGTTAAATGATACGGAATCAGTTGCAATATATACCGTAGAAGATAGAACTTTTACAGTCAATAGTCAAACTGCAATTAAATTGCATTAATTCAAAAAGTGAATTCTTAATAGTTAGAATTATATGAGCAGCTCAGTGTAATGAGCGCAGCACTACAATTACCTATACAGAATATAGTTGCTCTTAGAAAAAGTTTATTAATTGAAAATTATTTGAATAAAATTTTAATAGAACTCACGAATTCTGAAAATCATATTAAAAGATGTACAAACCGTGCAAGTAGCTCAGTTCAAAGTGAACAGCTTAAGTGTGCAGTTTTTCAGCACAGATCCGAAGTGCAATTGCAGTTCTAAATAAAAATTTTAATTATTTCAACGTATAAAAATAATTGCATTCTTGAAACTATGGAGCGCTGGTTAAAATCTGTTGCCGTAGTCACTGGTGCCAGTTCTGGAATAGGTGCTGCCATTGCTAAAGACTTGGCAAATGCAGGATTAATTGTTGTTGCCTTGGCTCGTCGCATTGAACGTGTAGAGGAAATACGTGCCGAATTATCACCAAAAGTGCAACCGAATTTTTATGCTATCAAGTGCGATGTTACAGATCGTAACGCTGTCAATGAAACTTTTGATTGGATTGAAGAGAATTTAGGTGGGATTGATATATTGATAAATAATGCTGGCACACTTTTCACTGGTCAAATTGTGACTGCTGATATCGATAAAATGCAGAATGTCCTGCAAACCAATATAATGGGTGTTGTTTTATGTACTCAACGTGCTTTTAAATCGATGAAAGCTCGCAAAGTTGATGGGCATATTGTTAATATTAATAGCATCACTGGGCATTATATACCCAGTCTAGCAGAACCGCTTATGATGAACATTTATCCAGCATCAAAGTACGCCATAACAGCAATCAATGAAATCGTGCGTCAAGAAGTTCGTGATTTGGGTACAAGAATAAAAATTACTGTAAGTTTTTGTTAAGAATTAGATATAAGTCGGGTGGTAATGTTAATAGAATACTTTCGCGAAGTCTTATGTACTTTTAAGTCTATAATATACTTTCAGCCCCGTCTTTTAAGTTGATCAGTTCAAGATACATTTTTCATTCGTGTATGTAAAAAGTCCGATTATGCAGTTTTATTATATATTTTGGATTTAGTTTGCACTACTGGTTCAGTAAATATAGCCAGCCATATAATATTTTGGGTATAATAATATTCGGTCATTGTAAACCGAATGAAAAATTTTTATTATTCCAATCCAAAGAATGTTTTGGTTAAAAAGCATTGTTAATATTGCAGTTAAAAAATATATAGTCCATATCGGGGGTTTATATAGATTCACAGGATTCGTAATGTAGTTAAATTAATTTTATAATTTTTATAATTATATCAACCAATTCTATATATCGTTCTTTATAATTTTTATTATGGAACCATTGTGTTATTGCATTACGTTTGTTCTTTTATTATATTTTTTCTTAAATATTAAGAATATACATAATAAGTGAAACATACTATAATAATACATGGTAATATA